GGCCCGGGCTGGATTCAAACCCGCCAGCTCAGGTGTATGTGGCGCTTGAGCCACAGGCGCCGAGCCTGTCTACATGATTTTGATGCTGGCTAAAGTTGGAGAATATTCATCTATTACTTGTATATATTTTTTCTTTACACGTTTAGCTTTAATCCATCTGAATTTTATTTTTGTGCATGGTGCGTAGCACAAATGTAGATTTAATCCCCATTACTACAACCACACACACTAATAGCCAACTGTTCCAAGGCCATACAATAAATAGTCCAATCTTCCCTCTAGGTCCTCTCGTCCCACAGACACATTCACAACCTATGACCCTGGTAGCAAAGCACAGAGTCAGGAGACCTAGGCTCTGGTTCCAATGAGGCCACTCACTACCTTGGGCCTGAGTAACATGGGGTCCGCTTCAACCGCCCCCTCCGGAAGGTGGCTGGGATAAAGGTCTGAAAGCGCAGAGGTTGACAGTAAGGGCGGCGGCGCCCACCCAGGTGGCCGCTTGGGACTAGGTTCCTGCCTGCGGGGGGCCTCCCGGCGCAAAGCACAGACTGGAAGTGAGGGGCGCGCTAGCCTAGGTGCCGCGGCGCCAGGCCCAGCCTCACCTCGCAGGGCCCCACGAAGAGGATCTTGGCCTTCAGCATCGTCATCAAGGGCCGGGGAGCTCACCGGAGCCCACGGAAGTCCACCCGAGCGGTGCAGAGCTCACCGGAGCGGGCAGGTCCGAGCGGAGCTGGAGTAGCTAAGCTCATTGGCTACCTCCGTTTCCATGGCGACGGTGAGCGGCCCGCAGTGGCCGACGGGATCGGCCAGTTCCGGCATCACAGGCGGAAAGGGGCCGGGACGGGGCCGGGCCTGGGCTGGATGGGAGCTGCCTTGAGACTTCTGCTAATCGGGCCTGGTTCTTTGCGGAGATGCAGAAAGTGAGACCCCGGCAGGCGGTGGAATTGCCGGTCCTTAATCTTCTTTCTTTCTCCCAATAACCCCGAGAGGTCAAACAGGCCATCCAGCTAACGAACTGGGCTTGGAACCAGGCCTCTGGCTGCGGTATCACTTTGGCATGATACTGTCCACACTGGGAACGGATTTTTTCAGAGTCCTGGCCCTGCCTAGAAGAAGTCAGGAGAGTCTGGTCTCTGTAAAGAGATCCTCCACTCACTATCATTTGGGTGATCAGGGAGAAACGGAAAGAATGATATTCTGACCTTGTTTACACAGTGCAGGTGAGTAAAAACAGTGCTAGATACCGTTATAAAGTAGACTTTAGGCCAACCTTAAATTACCGAGTCAGGCCAGATTTTTGGACAAGACCATGAAATCTCTATGTGCCAAGAGTGCGGCTACAACATATGCCAGCACAGAAAATAGCTAATTATGACAAAAATCCCCAAGTGAACCCATTAGCAAATCTTTAATGTTTGATAGGATAGTAATATGTAGTCTTTGTATAACAAAGAACTGCTGAATAAACAGGAAGAGTCTAATTTCAAGATGTCATAGATGGAGTGATTGATTAGATACATTCTTTTGACTGCTCATTTTATATCACACACCCTTCTAGGTACGGGGCCTGTGCTCTTGCCTTTTGAGGTCTTGAGGCTTGTGTTCCAGTGGAGTAAATAGATACTGAACAAACAAGTAAATAACACACAGACATACCTTGGAGATGTTGTGCATTGGGTTTCAGCCCACAATAAAGCAAATATCATGATAGTGAAATAAAAGTGTTTACACTGTACTATTGTCTGACAAATGTGCGATAGCATTATGTCTAAACCACTGTACATATCTTAATGTAAAAATATTGCTAAAAGATGCTAACAATCATCAGAGACTTCAGGGAGTTGTTATCTTTGTGTTGATGTCTGCTGGCTGATCAGGGTGGTGGTTGCTAAGGTTTGGGTGGCTGTGGCAGTTTCTTAAAATAAGACAAGGAAGTGTTCTCCATTGCTTGACTCTTCTCTTTATGAAACAATTCTCTGTACCAAACAATGCTGTTTGGTAGAACGTTACCCACAGTAGAACTTCTTTCAAAATTGGAGTAAATCTTATCAAACCCTGCGCTGCTTTGTCAATTAAGTTTATGAAGCATTCTGAATCCTTTGTTGTCATTTCAACAATGTTCATAGCATCTTCACCAGGAGTAGATTCTTACTCAAGAAACTATTTTCTTTGCTCATCCATAAGAAGCAACTCCTTGGCTTGGCGCCTGTGGCGCAAGTGGCTAAGGCACCAGCCACATACACCTAAGG